ACTTTGGGGTCAGGAAGCAAACCTGGAGGGGTTGTTTTTGTCTTCTTCTGGGCGTGGAACAGGGGTCACTGGGGAGGTGTGGGGGGGAGGTATTCGTGAATTTCCTGCCTTGTGCAAGGGGTTGGACTAGATGACTCTGGAGGTCCCTTCCGGCTCTATGATTCTATTCTTCTAAGACATTGTTGGCTATTGGTTTTTACCACAAATCTATCAAGTAACTGGGACTCACTGAATCAGCAATTACAATGATAGAGAAAAAACAGATGGCAGATGGATTACAACAATAGTTCATTTCTTCTTGCTCAACGAGTTTGTTGTTCACAATTTTTGGTAATATTTCCCTCGATTCTCTTCCCTCCTTTGCTTATCATCTGAGCTTACCTGGTCCACTCAGGGCTTTTACCCTTGCTAGAGCGAATGCCCATTCAATCGTGGTTGTTAGAGGCCGCTTTTTGTATTTTACCTACTGTGATAGAATTTGCTCTTGGTCCCTTGGCGAAATAGATCCAGCCTCAGATATTTCATTGTCTTGTCCTCTCCATTCCAATCTAAGATACCATTTTATTCTGCCGTGGCTGGTGAATTTCAGTGATGCTAATCCAAGTAGGGTGGTCCCCTTCCTTTCTCTCTAGTCAAAATCCTAATAGAAGCCTGGATGTTGCAAAAAGTTTTTATTCCTTTTGTCTCTTGGGAAATAAACAGAGATTGTGAATGAAATTTCAGATTGTTATACTGCTCAAGGCATTGAGCTATCGAGCCTGGGGAAAGAGATCGCCAGTTTGGTGTAGTGGTTAATTATTTATTATTTATTTATTATTTTCTATTTATATTCTGCCCTCCTCGCATGTGCGCGGACTGTAATCTGGGAGAACCGGGTTTGATTCCCCTCTCCTCCACTCGCACCTGCTGGATGACCTTGGGCAAGCCATAGTTCTGATAAGAGCTGTTCTTGAAAAACAGCAGTTTCCCTCAGAGCTCTCTCAGCCCCACCCACCTCACAGGGTGGCTGTTGTGGGGAGGGGAAGGGAAAGGAGTTTGTAAGCCGCTCTGAGACTCCTTCAGGTAGTGAAGGGCGGGGTAGAAATCCAATCTCCTCCTCCTCCTCCTCTTCTTCTCCCTCTTCTTCTTCTTCTTCCTCCTCTTCCATAATACTAGAACTTGAGGGCACCCAACGAGATTGTTTGGCCACAGATTCTTCACTGAGCAAGTGTCAGGTTCCACAGCCAAAGAAAGCGGAAGAGCTCCGTCTTGCAGGCCCGTCTTCTTCTTCTTCTTCCTCCTCTTCCATAATACTAGAACTTGAGGGCACCCAACGAGGTTGATGGGCAACAGATTCAGGACGGACAAAAGGAAATATTTCTTCACTGAGCAAGTGTCAGGTTCCACAGCCAAAGAAAGCGGAAGAGCTCCGTCTTGCAGGCCCTTCTTCTTCTTCGTCCTCCTCCTCTTCCATAATACTAGAACTCGAGGGCACCCAACGAGGTTGATGGGCAACAGATTCAGGACGGACAAAAGGAAATATTTCTTCACTGAGCAAGTGCCAGGTTCCACAGCCAAACAAAGGAGTACACGCTTAGCATAAGGTTATACTTTATTGCAAGAGCTATAGATGCAGTAACATGGTCACTGTTAGGAATGGCTACGTTCCTACAAGCATAATAGGATATAGGGTATTCATATGCACACACACCCCACTCCTAGGCCAATCGGCCTGACTCCCGTGTGTGGGATGTGGTAAGAAATATTGAAAGATGGAAGTATTTGGGTTTAAAATGAACCAACTAAGTTATGAATTCCATATACAATATCTGGCTCTGCCCTGGCTAGAAAAAGCAAGGTCAGAGATAAAAAGAACGAAGGAAGGCAACAGCACTTGGTACACAGGTTAAGCAGATGCACTCTTGCCCATAAACATCATGGCAGCACAGCTGACAACAGGTAATTCCGCGTGGAACTGACGGCTCATAGGCGGAGTGAGGGTCACGCCATCTTGGTGACGGGTAGACCGGACCAGGGATTCTATGAATTCTGAAAAGCAAGATTCAGTCCAGTGGCACTTTCAAGACCAGCAAGGTTTCCTGGGTATAAACTTCCAAGAGCCAAAGCTTCCCGGGTATACATTTTGCCTCATGAAACCCTGTTGTTGTTCAGTCGCACAGTCGAGTCCGACTCTTCGCGACCCCATGGACCACATCACGCCAGGCCTTCCTGTCTTCCGCCGTCCTGTGAAGTCTGCTCAATTTCATGTTCGTTGTATCTATGACACTGTCTAACCATCTCATCCTTTGCTGTCCCCGTCTTCTTTGACCTTCAATCTTTCCCAGCATCAGGGTCTTCTCCAGTGAGGGCTCCCTTCTCATTGGGTGGCCAAAGTATTTGAGCTTCAGTTTCATTATCTGGCCTTCCAGGGAACAGTCAGGGTTGATTTCTTTTAGGATGGACTGATTGGATCTTCTTGCAGTCCAAGGGACTCTCAAAAGTCTTCTCCAGCACCATAGTTCAAAAGAATCTATTCTTCGGCGCTCGGCCTTCCTTATAGTCCAACACTCGCAGCCATACATGACTACTGAGAATACCATTGCTTTGACCATGCAGACTTTTGTTGGCAGGGTGATGTCTCTACTTTTTATCATGCTGTTTAGGTTCGCCATCGCTTTCCTCCCAAGGAGCAGGCGTCTTTTAATTTCATGGCGTCTTTTAATTCCCAGACTCAAATCTTGCTCTTCCACTGTAGATCAACATGGCTACCCACCCAAAACTATGATTTCCGAAAGTCTTTCGAGGAAAAAGGGCAGAGATGTGACGCACAAGTAATTCTGGGAAATGGAATGAATTAGACCTTGAAACAGGCTGTGACATACCACTCCCATAGCAAACGTGGGGCTGTCTCCTGTCCTTGCAGGGCAACCTATAGGGCCTTATCTGTCTCATATCTCCTGGAACATCTGCCAAGTAGATGAGGCGGTCCCCAAATTTCTGTTTGCTTTGGAGCTGGCTGGAGACTTGGATCTGTTTGCTCAAACACCATCAGCACCATCTCCCTCCCTATAAATATCCCGAGGAAGCAGGACTGCCCTGCACAGGTGAGTCCCGAGACGACACTCCCGCCATTCCAGACTCTCCAGAAAGCGATTCACAAGCGGGTGAGCTTTTCTGTCTCCACAGCCTTCCCCTCCCGTGGGTCTGATTTTACACCTGGGGAAAGCAGGCGACAAATACGATGGGGAGATATCCTTTGGGAGCGGATGAGGCAAAAATATTTGAAAATAACGTTTCGTGTGGCTGATGCCCTTTTTCAGCTTCTGTGGTTTTGCTGCTCCACATAGAACGTTTCTGCACACGGGGCAGCAAATGTTGGGAGTTCCAAATGCAATGGGCCCTGTCTTAGATCTCCAGACTGAGTGGCAAGAGAGACTAGACAGCTAGCCAGTTTGGTGTCGTGGTTAAGTGCGCGGACTCTAAGCTAGGAGAACTGGGTTTGATTCCCCACTCCTCCACTTGCACCTGGCTGGATGACCTTGGGTTGTGACTAAGCTCTGTCAGAGCTGTCCTTGCTGTTCTTGAAAAACAGGAGTTCCTGTCAGAGCTCTCTCAGCCCCACCTACCTCACAGGATGTCTGTTGTGGGGAGGGGAAGGGAAAGGAGTTTGTAAGCCGCTCTGAGACACCTTTGGGTAGTGAAGGGTGGGGTATAAATCCAATCTCTTCTCTTCTTCTTCTTCTTCACAGGCACACTGGCCTTTCTTCCTGTGTTTACTCTCCTGCCACTGTCCCCTTTGAAACGCAGATTGTGTTCTCAGGGACGATTTCCCCTTCCTTCCGCTCTCTCACTCACTTGAAGACAAGCTCTCTCACCCTGCACGCACCGAGAGAGAGAGATGGGGTCCTCTCTTGGCACCATGAGGCAGATGGGCCTCTCACCATCTGCCTCCATCCTTTAGCTAGTAAGTTAGTACACTATCATGTCCCTGCTCTTTCCTATCCAAAGTGTACTTCTCAATTAAAGAGAGGACCGTTTCTCTTCTAAACTTGCAACGTGGTTCTGTGTAGCTTTGTAAGCTAAGTAACCTGGCAAAGTGATGCTCCTGCATTTGTAGCTTTATTTAAGCCACTAATGGTGACTGGACTAACCACACCAGATAACCTCAGTAAGCAAAAGCAGGTAAATATCTAGCCACCAGTGCTGTTTTTGGGGCAGGAAAATGGCTTGGCGGGAAGAAGGCCCCAGGTTCAATCCCCGGCATCTCTAGTTAAAAAGGACCAGGCAGTAGGTGCTGGGAAAGACCTCCACCTGAGACCCTGGAGAGCTGTAAAGAGGGGCTGTGGCTCAGTGGCAGAGCCTCTGCTTGGCATGCAGAAGGTCCCAGGTACAGTCCCCGACATCTCCAGTTAGAAAGGACCAGGCAGGAGGTGATGTGAAAGACCTCCGCCTGAGACCCTGGAGAGCTGTAAAGAGGGCTGTGGCTCAGTGGAAGAGCCTCTGCTTGGCAGGCAGAAGGTCCCAGGTTCAATCCCCAGCATCTCCAAGCCAAAAAGGGTCAGGCAGCAGGTGATGGGAAAGACCTCTGCCTGAGACCCTGGAGAGCTGCGAAGAGGGGCCATGGCTCAGTGGCAGAACCTCTGCTTGGCATGCAGAAGGTCCCAGGTTCAATCCCTGGCATCTCCAGTTTAAAAGGACCAGGCAGAAAGTGATGGGAAAGACATCTGCCTGAGACCCTGGAGAGCTGTAAAGAGGCGCTGTGGCTCAGTGGCAGTCTAAGGTGGCTCCATGGCATTCATGTGACTTGTGGTGTTTGTATTCTACAGAGCCAATGAGACTGAAGGAAGGCACCGTCCTGTTTTGCAAGGAAAGCCCAAACTAACTGACCTGTCTTGTGCGTTTCATAAATGCTTTAATAAGCAAAGAGATTTGGGTTGCTGCTCCAGGTGACCTCCCGGGTGATAAAGAGCTGATGATTGGGGGGGATATGACGGGATGTTGTTTTCCAGGAGAAGCAAAGGATGGGGCAGGTGGTCTTCTTCGCCCTGTGCCTCTTGGGCTGCTTCGTCTTTGGACTGAGTGACACTCCAGGGGAAGGTGAGTGTCGGGGCGGTGAACCTTGGTCTCATCCCATGAAATGACTGTGGGTTGAACCTGGCAGTCCTAACCAGCTTCCCTTCCCTTGTGGTGTGTCATAAAATGTAATGCCAGGCTGGGAAATTCTGGAAAATTTTGGAGTGGAGCCCAAGGAAAGGCGGGGTTTGAGGAGAGAATCAAAGAACCACAGAGTCGGAAGGGTCCATAGAGGCCATCTAGTCCAGCCCCCCTTCTCAGTGCAGGATCAGCCTAGAGCATCCCTGACAAGGGTTTGTCCAGCCGCTGCTCAAAGACGGCCAGGGAGGGGGAGCTCACCACCTCCCCAGGCAGCCGATTCTACTGTTTTTGAACAACTCTGACTATAAAAATGTTTTTTCCTAATGCCCAGCTGATACTTTCCGGCCCTTCATTTAAACCCCTTCTTGTGAGTCCTCTCCTCTGCTGCCAACAGGACCAGCTCCCTGCCCTCCTCCAAGTGACACAGCCCTTCAAAGACTTCAAGAGAGCCATCCTGCCCCCCCTCAGCCTCCTCTTCTCCAGACTGAACATTCCCAAGTCCCTCAACCTTTCTTTGTAGGGCTTCTTGGTCTCCAGGGCCTCCAATCATCCTTGCGGCTCTCCTCTGCTGCACCCGCTCCTTTCTGTTCACATCCTGTTTGAAATGAGGAAATGCATTTCTTCACAAGAACATCAGAAGAGCCCTGCTGGATCAGACCAGTGAGGGTCCATCCAGTCCAGCCTCCTGTCTCACACAGGGGCCAACGAGTTCCTCTGGAGGGCCAACAACAGGGCACAGAGGCTGAGGCCTTCATAAGAACCTCAGAAGAGCCCTGCTGGATCAGACCAGTGAGGGTCCATCCAGTCCAGCATCCTGTCTCACAGGGTGACCAACCAGTTTCTCTGGAGGGCCAACAACAGGGCCGAGAGGCCGAGGCCTTCCTAAGAACATCAGAAGAGCCCTGCTGGATCAGACCAGTGAGGGTCCATCCAGTCCAGCATCCCGTCTCACACAGGGGCCAGCCAGTTCCTCTGGAGGGTGAACAACAGGGCAGAGAGGCCAAGGCCTTCCTGTAAAAAACACTTCTGGATCAGACCAGTGGTACATCTAGTCCAGCATCCTTTCTCAGTCAGTGGCCAGCCAGTTCCTCTGGAGGGCTAAACAAGAGGGCAGGGAGGCCGAGGCCTTCATAAGAACATCAGAAGAGCCCCACTGGATCAGACCGGTGAGGGTCCATCTAGTCCAGCCTCCTGTCTCACACAGGGGCCAACCAGTTTCTCTGGAGAACCAACAAACAGGGCAGAGAGGCCGAGGCCTTCCTAAGAACAGCAGAAGAGCCCTGCTGGGTCAGACCAGTGAAGAGTCCATCCAGTCCAGCCTCCCGTCTCACACAGTGGCCAACCAGTTCCTCTGGAGGGCCCACAACAGGGCAGAGAGGGCGAGACCTTCCCCTGAGAAGAGCGTAAGAAGAACTCTGCTGGATCACACCTGCGGTCCACCTAGCCCAGCATCCTGCCTCACACAGTGAGCGTCAGTACCCTTCCTCTGGAGGGCCAAGAACAGGGCACAGTGGCTGAGGCTTTCCCCTGATGTTGCCTCCTGGCTCTGGGATTCAGAAGCTTAATACCTCTGAACGTGAAGGTTCCCCTCAGCCACCATGGCTAGTAGCCATTGATATACTGATCCTCCATGAATCTCTCTAATCCCCTTTTTAAGCTGTTTATTATCCTTGCTGGCAGTTCTTCTTTCCTTCCTAAATACAGCCACACCCCCGAATTCTTCACAGGCCAGGGATGAGGGAGGGTTAGAGAACAAGCAGGTCGTCTGAGTATGTTTTGTCATGCCTGGGCATTTTTTTAGTATTGAACATCTGAGCCAGCCATTTCCCCCCAAAGCGTTCGCTCAGCTAAAGAGCCCGCGTGTTTCTTCCAGATGCCGGTGACGAAGACGTGGCCGCCAGGTATTACTGTCCTCCTGGGGCGATTTATATCAGAGGAAATTGCTATGAGTTCTTTAGAAATTCGATATCATGGGACTTAGCAGAGGTAAGTGCTGCCGAGAGGGGGAAAGGGGAATAGAAAAGGTGGAGTCAGCTCATGCAGTAACTCTCAGACGCAATAAGTCCTTTAACAGGCTTTATTGGGAAAATCAGGAAAGTTGCAGTAAAGTCGAACTCTTTGACAGAACTAATGAATAATACGAAGTGGGAATCTACGAGACCTCTGGTTCAGCCCTCATTCATACGTCATGATTACATAGTGCATAGACAGGTGAATACAGTGCAATTCAGACGGTGTGAATGTTAATCACTTGAGACTCTCCCCAAGGCCATGAGAATGAAAAACAGTGAAAGTTCTCCCTGGCCGTTTGTGGAGGATGCTTCCTTTCACAGAGTTACAAGCGCAGCTAATCTAAGGTCCACACAGACATGTCTCAATCGCCCCTCTCTCAGGAATGTCAGAGGAGGACCTTGCAGACAGATTGATCCAATGCCAGCAGGTGCTAGACGGGAGCTTGGGAACTAAAAGCGGGGAGGGAGAACAGCTGGCGAAGCAATAACAGAGCACAGCTATGTACATCAGAGAACCATAGTTACAAGTATGATGGCCCAGTGACCCGTGCAAGGGTCCGATTCTGACAGGTGGTAGAATCATAGAATGTTAGAGTTGGAAGGGACCTTGCAGGTCATCCAGTCCAGCCCCCTGCACTCTGCAGGAGCACAGCCGAGGGATAGCCCTACGACATACCCGAAAGAGGGTCGTCCAGCCTCCACTTGGAAACGCCCAGCGAAGGAACATCCACTTCTTCCTGAGGTGGCATAATCCCCATATTTCAGGGCTGGCCAAACTACAGCCTGGGAGCCACATGCAGCTCTTTCACATGTATTGTGCGGCTCCTGGCAGGGCGGCTGGGGAAGCGAAGGGGAGGCGTGCCTCCCCCTATTGATCTTCCCTTCCCCAGCCAGTGTTCCCCGCCCTGGGTAGGCTTGAGGTGTGTGTGTGGGGGGGAGCAGAGAAAGAAAGCAACATTAACTTTAAATGCATTCTCAACCCCGCCCCCCCAATGGCCGGCTTGGAGAAGGCATTTGTTTCTTTAAATCCTCTCACCAAGCTAACCAGTGTGTGTGTGGGGGTTAGGGTTAGAGGACTCATTTAAAGCTCAAGTTGCTTTCTTTCCACCTCTCCCTCCCTCCCCTCAACTATTCGCTTTCTTTCCACCTCTGTCTCTCTTTCTTTCCACCTCTGCCTCTCCCTCTTTCCACCTCTCTCTCTCTTTCTTTCCACCTCTCTCTCTCTCTCTCTCTCTCTCTCTGACAAATAAACATCATTAGCAAACAGATAAATATCATTGGACAAATAAATATCATTATCAATATCTGTTTTTGCCCCTTTTGTTTTTATTTTTGGCCGTCTCGTTTAATGTTAATAAAAAGCAAATCTGCATATTTTCCAATAAAAACGTGTGTGTAATGTTTGCTCATGACTTGCAGCTCTCAAATATCTGACATTTATTCGATGCGGCTCTTACGTTAAGCAACTTTGGCCACCCCCTGCCATATCTCAAAAGGCGTGGTGTCATACACATGTACACGAAGCTCCTGGAGATTTGGGGATAGAGCCTGGGGCGGACAGGGACCTTAGTGGGGTCCAATGGCTGAGTCCACCCTCAGTTTGGTGTAGTGGTTAAGTGTGCGGACTCTAATCTGGGAGAACCAGGTTTGATTCCCCACTCCTCCACTTGCACCTGCTGGATGACCTTGAGCAAGCCATAGTTCTGACAAGAGCTGTCCTTGAGAAAGAGCCATTTCTGTCAAGCTCTCTCAGCCCCACCCACCTCACAGGGTGTCTGTTGTGGGGAGGGGAAGGGAAAGGAGTTTGTCAGCCACTCTGAGACTCCCTTGGGTAGTGAAGGGCGGGGTATAAATCCAATCTCTTCTTCTTCTTCTTCACCCTCCAAAACAGCCATTGTCTCCAAGGAACTGAGCTCTGTAGTCTGCAGCTGAGCTACAATTCCAGGGGTCCCCAGGTCCCACCTGGAAGCTGGAACCCCTAAGTGCAGCTTAAGGAAATTTTGGGTGTGATGGATGGCAGATTCCAGATTTTCAAGTTCTTCTACAAACCTTGAGCATTTTTCAGATATAGTAAGCGAGCCAGTTTGGTGTAGTGGTTAGGAGTGCGGACTCTAATCTGGGAGAACTGGGTTTGATTCCCCACTCCTCCACAGGAAGCTGCTGGCGTGATCTTGTGTCAGTCACAAGTTCTCTCAGAGCTGTTCTCTCAAGGGCAGTTCTTGAAAGAGCTCTCTCAGCTCCACTGACCTCACAGGGTGTCTGTTGTGGGAAGGGAAAGGGGATTGTAAACTGCTCTGGGACTCCTTTGGGTAGTGAAGGGCGGGGTATAAATCCTCCCCCTCCTCCTCCCCCTCTTAACACTGGATAATATTTTGTTTTCTTTTGGCAGGCTCAATGTCAAAACCTGAGACATAGAAGTCACCTGGCTTCCTTTTCCAGCATGAGGGAGGAAAAATTAGTTTCTGCTTACATCAAACGCTTCAGCACTACAAACTATGTCTGGATTGGTCTTAACGCCATGCCGAATGTCAACGTAGGTTCTGACTTTGGGCTTCCTTTATTACCTGTCAGGTCGTAGCTTTGAATACTTGAATTACACATTTTTAAATGTGCCAGGCAGGGTGAGGCTTGCCAGCTCCCTCCTAGCAGTCAGTGGTCATTTCTGCACTAGGATCTCATCTCTGGTTTTATCAGAGTTCAACTCGTGACACAATACTTTGCATTTATCCCTGGTTATAACAGCATCCGTTTATCCCTGGACAAGTGTAGGGTGAAACGGGGGTGACTTCAATATAATGTAGAAACAAAAAATACCCCAAGATAATTACAGGGGTGTACTCGCATGTAGTGTAGAATGTAAAAATCCCCCGAGATAATTACAGGGGTGTACTCGCATGTAGTGTAGAATGTAAAAATCCCCCGAGATAATTACAGGGGTGTACTCGCATGTAGTGTAGAATGTAAAAATCCCCCGAGATAATTACAGGGGTGTACTCGCATGTAGTGTAGAATGTAAAAATCCCCCGAGATAATTACAGGGGTGTACTCGCATGTAGTGTAGAATGTAAAAATCCCCCGAGATAATTACAGGGGTGTACTCGCATGTAGTGTAGAATGTAAAAATCCCCCGAGATAATTACAGGGGTGTACTCGCATGTAGTGTAGAATGTAAAAATCCCCCGAGATAATTACAGGGGTGTACTCGCATGTAGTGTAGAATGTAAAAATCCCCCGAGATAATTACAGGGGTGTACTCGCATGTAGTGTAGAATGTAAAAATCCCCCGAGATAATTACAGGGGTGTACTCGCATGTAGTGTAGAATGTAAAAATCCCCCGAGATAATTACAGGGGTGTACTCGCATGTAGTGTAGAATGTAAAAATCCCCCGAGATAATTACAGGGGTGTACTCGCATGTAGTGTAGAATGTAAAAATCCCCCGAGATAATTACAGGGGTGTACTCGCATGTAGTGTAGAATGTAAAAATCCCCCGAGATAATTACAGGGGTGTACTCGCATGTAGTGTAGAATGTAAAAATCCCCCGAGATAATTACAGGGGTGTACTCGCATGTAGTGTAGAATGTAAAAATCCCCCGAGATAATTACAGGGGTGTACTCGCATGTAGTGTAGAATGTAAAAATCCCCCGAGATAATTACAGGGGTGTACTCGCATGTAGTGTAGAATGTAAAAATCCCCCGAGATAATTACAGGGGTGTACTCGCATGTAGTGTAGAATGTAAAAATCCCCCGAGATAATTACAGGGGTGTACTCGCATGTAGTGTAGAATGTAAAAATCCCCCGAGATAATTACAGGGGTGTACTCGCATGTAGTGTAGAATGTAAAAATCCCCCGAGATAATTACAGGGGTGTACTCGCATGTAGTGTAGAATGTAAAAATCCCCCGAGATAATTACAGGGGTGTACTCGCATGTAGTGTAGAATGTAAAAATCCCCCGAGATAATTACAGGGGTGTACTCGCATGTAGTGTAGAATGTAAAAATCCCCCGAGATAATTACAGGGGTGTACTCGCATGTAGTGTAGAATGTAAGTTTGGGGACAGGATTGAAGCAGGATTTAAGATCTAGTGCAGAAAGGCCCAGTGAGGACCAATGTTCCCTCTAAGCTGTGGGGTCTTGTGAGCAAAAATTCTACTTTGTGAGCTACTGGCATTAAAGTTGTGAGCAAGCAATATGGCTACTGCATAAATTAGCTTGCTCTGGAGCCATCCTTCCTGAGCTAAGACAAAAAATGTGTGAGCCGGAGTCTGAAAATTTGTGAGCTAGCTCACACTAACTCAGCTTAGAGGGAACACTGGTGAGGACTGCGGGAGGGATTACCGGGAGTGGGAGGAAAGCTCAGCTGATGCTGCAGCAACATTTCTACGTCACTTCCAACATGACCCAGAAGTGACATCATCATGCAGTGACATTGGGGTGATGCTCTGCTATCTGGGCAAAGACTCGATGGTAAATTTGGCTTCTACCAGGAAGTTTATGCTCAAATACTAGAGCGTCACCCCGACATCACTGATGTGATAGTACCATTTCTGGTTCATGTCCAGAAAAGGGGCCAATAGTCTGGAATTGGGATAAATAATATTATTAGGATGCCATCTTTAATCTTTTATTCTGTCTTGCAATTTTTATTAAGTTGTATATTGAGTTTTAATGTTGTGTATTTTATGGCATCATGCCTTTTGTACATTGCCCACAGCCCAGCGTAAGCTGGGTTAGGGCAGTGGCAACAACAACAACAATTTTTAAAAAGTAACATAGACACATTGCTGCAATGTCAACTGGGCCTCCTCTTTTTCCGGGTAAGTCCCCTTCCACCAGCCAGCTGATCGGCACCAAAGTGGTGAGACCTGGCAATGGGGGGCCCATTGCCCCATGGGTTGTTCTCTCTGGCCTGAATCAGCTGCATCGATCCCTCAGCATTTAAAAGTGCTGCTCAGTTTTGGAGCGGGAAGCAGCACCCTGAAAGTTGCATAGTAGTTGGAGGGGGCTGAAGGTGTATGTCTCTCTTCCACTTTCCTGTCCTCGGTTACTCAGGAGCGCCCCCTTCTTGAGAGCCAGTTTGGTGTAGTGGTTAGGAGCGCGGACTCTAATCTGGGAGAACCAGGTTTGATTACCCACTCTTTCACATGCATCTGCTAGTGTGACCTTGGGTCAGTCATAAGTTCTCTCAGAGCTGTTCACTCACGAGCAGCTTCTGTCAGAGCTCTCTCAGCTCCACTTACCTTACAGGGTGTTTGTTGTGGGGAGGGGAAGGGAAAGGATTTTGTAAGCCACTTTGAGACTCCTTCAGGTAGTGAAGGACAGGGTATAAATGCAGTTTCTTTCCCCCCCCCCTCCTCCTCCTCCTCCTCCTCCTCCTCCTCCTCCTCCTCTTCTTCTTGCTATCAAGACAGACTCCAGAGCGATGGAGGACTGGACCTCAAATCTAAATCCTGAGTGGTCCGCTGAGATACTGGGAGCAGCACTTTCCTCTCAGCCCCGGATTTAAAGGTCCTCCTATCACTCCTCCGCCTCCACACTTGTGACCTGCCCGGGGTTCACGAGTCCTCTGACTTCATGGGAGTTTTCTCTTTCACCCTCAACAGAAACTAATGTGGGAATGGAGCGATCGTTCCCCCTACATCTCTGGGTCGCCTCTCTGGGACAACCGGAGCCCCAGCACCACCATCTCTTCCTCGGAATGCCTGTTGCTTACCAACGTCCAGTCTCCATCATGTACGTATGAAGGTTCTTAGCAGACATGTGGTTGGTGGGGATTGCCCAGGTGAGCAGACACCTGCTGCTGCCTTGACTTGACTTTCTCATGACATGGAACCTGAACACTCCATGGCATCAGCTGCTGCCTGGTCCTCTTGGGCCCCTGCCACACGGCAGAAAAAAAACACGACCAAAGTGCGGCTTTTTAGAGCCGCACCAAAAGAGACACGCAGCGGCGGGATCACACAGATCCCCTGAGCTACCGCGCAATTGCTCCCTGGCACGATCAGATGCCGGGGAGTAAGCCACGGACGGGAGACCGAGGCAGCCGGCTGCGCATGCGTGCGCATGCACAGTTTGGCCAGGAGCTTCAAATGCTCCTGATGACGGACGCGCCGGCGATCCCACGGATGCGCTTGCTGCGGCGTTTCAGGTAAGTCCTTCTCTTTACTTGGGCCCCGTCCATACGAGCCCATTTGGGCCGGGAGCGGGACGGAACCGGGGCGAAGCAAACAGGCGCGATCTCACCTCAACATCTGGCGAGCGTGCCGTCTCCGTCCCCGATCCGTTCCAACGGCCCATACCGCGCCGCAAAAAACAACCACCTCTCTAGGTGGTTGCAACCACGGCTCGGAGTAGCCGCGTTTCAGCCGGCCCGTATGCCCGGGGCCTTGGTTTTTTTTTTTGCTCCACAGCACTGGGCTGTAGGGACGGATCGGGGACAGGTGCGCGCCGATTCCCAAATGTTGCAGTGAGATCGCGTCCGTTTGCTGCACCCCCGATCTGTCCCTCTTCCGGCCCCAAACCACCCGTGTGACCGGGGCCTTGGTGTCTCTGTGCCCATTTGTTTTTTCTTACACCTGGCTGCTGGCACACATACCCTCCCCGCCTGCCCCCTTCCACTGACAGGATCACGAAACTGCGGAGGAAATCGGGCTAAGCCCCAAGTCAAAATGCAGCCCCGGAGCTTCGGGTGTGAAATTGACATGTTTGTGTCAAGGCAAATGGCACTGTGCTGCGAGGCAGCTCTCGTGAGAAATCACCCCTGCTGTCAGTGAGTCGCTATCCAGAATCACCCCTGTCAGGGTCCTGGGGTTAGCAGCCAACTGGGTTTGTCCCAGCTCTGGAGGGCAGCCCATGAGACTCTCGGCTTCACTCCAGGGCCTCTCCCCGCTCTTGTAGAGATGGTTGCTTCGGTGGTCATTACAGGGGTAGACTCTCGCTCATCATAATCGTGGTATGATGGATAGGGGAATGTTGAGTTCTGACTCTATGTCAGACTCTTGGACAAAATTACTCTCAACAACACACACTGGTAGTGGTTTGTTTCTTGAAAAATAAAGACGTTCCAAGCTAAGACCACTGTTGAGTCAGAACTGAAGCTCTGGCGCGAAACACCCCCCCCCCCATTACAGACAGTTCAAACCAAGCCCCTCCAATCACACTGCACACTCATTCCCGCCTAGCATTCGCACTCTCTACATCCCACTTGTAATTCACTACTCGGTTACGCTGTCACAGATACTGACCAAGGTCATCCCAGAGAAAGGAAGACTTACATTGCCACTACAACAGAGTCGTTTGGTGTTAAGTGGTTAAGTCCGCGGACTCTAATCTGGGAGAACCGGGTTTGATTCCCCACTCCTCCACTTGCACCTGCTGGTGCGACCATGGGTCAGTTCTTTCAGAGCTGTTCTCTCAAGGGCAGTTCTCAAGAGAGCTCTCTCAGCCCCACTTACCTCACAGGGTGTCTGTCTGTTGTGGGGAGGGGGAAGGGAAAGGAGATTGTAAACTGCTCTGAGACACCTTTGGGTAGTGAAGGGCGCGGTATAAATCCAATCTCCTCTTCCTATTCTTCTCCTCCTCCTCCTCCTCACACTCTCACACATACACACCCTCCCCCCCGGAATGTCCCTCGCAGGCCCCCAATCCCCAGAAGACATGGCAAACAAGAATCCGAGTTTGACATGAGGTAGCAAGAATAAGACATTTGAAACCCTCCATCACGTAGAGTCACTTTGTGTCTTCTGAATACATCTCAGCCCTGACAGGCCCTCTTTCCCCCCCTACAGCTTCGACTAGATGGATGCAGCAGAGCTGTTACTCCTCCTACCCATACGTGTGCAAGTACACGGCCTTTAATTAGGCCTGGAATGGAAACCCAGCACCCCCTGGGCACAATCTCATCATTTCCTCAGTGACCTGAAGTGGACGGAAGTTCCAACGGATAAAGCTCCAGATTCGGATCCTGGGGTGCTGCGGTGTCAAGGGAGTTCTTGTGTGTCCCTTTCCTGCGATCCTCTCTTTCTCCCAATTACTGATTTTTTAATCTGCGTAACTCTTTGTCATTCTCACACCCAGAGCAATCCTAAGAACACTTTCCCGGGAGTAAGCCTCATTCAGTAGACTTGAGTAGGCTCTTGAGTAGACCTGCTTAGTAACATGCTGTTGGTCTTCTGGCCCACCCCACTGGCCCACAGCAAACGTTGAGATAATTAGTTTTTCCAACCAGTACGAGGGCCTTTAATTCTACAAAAATGGATAGATCCAAAAGGTTGTGTGTGTTTTTTTTAATGGTGAACCTTTTGCACGAGGTTTTTCTGTGGCGAACTGGAGCAGTTTCCTTTGAATCAGGCTCATACTGTCTGAATTCAAGGTTTCCCTAAGATATTATCCATTCAGCTTGTGTAAAGGAAATGTGCAATTGGCGTTCTGCAGTTCGAAGTGGAGGGTAAATCTTGCAAGCGGCGCATTTCAATGTGTGCAAACTTGGCTATGGATTTTAAAGCAGCCTTTGAAAAGTTGTGTCTGGGTGGTTCCTGATTCCCTGGCCAGCTCCCGCCTTCTGTGATATCTTTTGCTGTCAGAATGATAATAAATTCTCTGCTGAGCATACCATGCTGTGAGCATCTCCTTTATCCTGATCCAGCCTCCGGGTTGAGGGGGCGGCTGGACGGCATGGACTCTCCTTGTTCCCGAAGTCTTCTGCGCTTGCGCAATGCCAAGGGTTCACCTCCGCTTCCCTCTGCTGACCCCATCGGAATTCCACTGAAATTGTGTGATTTTGCGTCTTTTGCTCTGCACACCACTCCGTTCCGTCTGAGGTTGCTAACAGTGCAATCCTAGGTAGCATTACTCCTGCGTGCAGCTGCTGAAATCAAGGGATTAAGACCAGAGTGACTCTGCCTAAGGCAAAGCCTTAGTCCTATCTAGGATCGCCAGTGTCCAGGTGGGGTGAGGAGTTCTCCCAGAATTCCAAAGGATCTCCAGCGGTGTTCCCTCTCAGCTGAGTTGGTGTGAGCTAGCTCACAGTTTCCTAGCCTCCAGCTCACAGATTTCTGTCTCGGGTCAGGAGAGACCGTCTCCAGAACAAACTAATTTATGCAGCAGCCAAATCGCTCGCTCACAACTTTAATGGCAGGAGCACACAGGGGTAGAATTTTTGCTCACAAGACTCCACAGCTTAGAAGGAGGAGGAGGAGGAGGAGATTGGATTTATACCCTGCCCTTCACTACCCGAAGGAGTCTCAGAGCGGCTTACAAACCCCTTTCCCTTCCCCTCCCCACAACAGACACCCTGTGAGGGAGGTGGGGCTGAGAGAGCTCTGACAGAGACAGCTCTTTTTCAAGGACAGCTCTTTTCAGAACTATGGCTTGCCCAAGGCCATCCAGCCAGGTGCAAGCGGAGGAGTGGGGAATCAAACCCGGTTCTCCCGGATTAGAGTCCGCACACTTAACACTACAGCAAACTGACTTAATACCTTTCAATTTATTTCAATTTATTGATCGCTCAATCCGGCAGAGCTGCTGGCTCTGAGCGATTTACAGTTACACGGTTTCACTCAAAGGACTAACAATTTCATAGGGGTAAGGGAGGACAACATATAATTCTTTAAATCACACACATTTTGCAGCCGACGGGGATTTTTGATCAGCTGTAGGCTTCAGACGTGTTCCGGGGGCATTCACTTTTCGACTTGGCTTGATGACGTTGGTTCTTCCTGGGCTGCTTTGAATCATAGCGCCGCAGTGCCACTGCCTGGCCGGATTGGTCCACTACAGGCTTCTTAATGCCGAAGAGGTCATTTTATCTGGATTACGAGCTTAGAGGGAGTATTGATCTCCAGGCTTCAGAGAGTGGACTCTATGGAAGCACAGCCCTGCCAACTTCCTCCCCTCCAACTCTGCCCTCCCCAGGGTCCTCGCTCAAATCTCCAGAAATTTCCCAGCCCAAAGTTGGCACCCCCCTCCATGTGCTGGATTTACCTAACAGGCAACAGCTTGATTTTACCGGGAGAAAAGTAATGTGAGCTCAGGGGATGGAGAGAGGCTGTGGAATTGTCCCCACTGTGCATATCCATAAATGCGATTCTGCCTCTAGCATTCGCTCCACATTTTCTCAACTGGGAGGGGAAAGAACAGCTCAAAACCACATTCAAATACCTCAGGACAATGCCATATTGACAGCAAAGTCACCCCTGTACGGCCAAGAATCTACTCAGAAGGTACCATACAATCCGATGATCAAAGAAAGCGAAAGCGGCATGCCATGCAGAGGGGGATTTCTGTTCCAACGTGGGTTTGGTAAAACAACAGAGGGAAAAGTCAATGCAGAATCAGCCATCCCCTTTAAAGCAAAAGGGCACTTTGGGCTGTGGACGTGCACTTTAACAAAAGGAGTCTGTGCGCCCCACTAGAACTTTAGTGAAAACAATGTGAGTTTTCTATTGCAATCCATTTGCATTTGCCCTAAGACCTTTTCTTAGTAGACTTACAGCGTGGTCTTACACATCTTTGCACATGTGCAAGTGTCATTGAGTTCACTGTGGCTTATTCTCAGGTAAAAGCCTCCAAAGGAAGTTTAGAAGAAGAAGAAGAAGATACTGGATTTATACCCCGCCCTCCACTGCCTGAAGGTGTCTCAGAGCGGCTTTCAAACTCCTTTCCCTTCCCCTCCCCACAACAGGCACCCTGTGAGGCAGGTGGGGCTGAGAGAGCTCTGACAGAAACTGCTCTTTTTCAAGAACAGTTCTTATCAGAACTACGGCTTGCCCAAGGTCATCCAGCAGGTGCAAGTGGAGGAGTGGGGAATCAAACCCGGCTCTCCCAGATTAGAGTCCGCGCACTTAACCACGACACCAAACTGGCTCTCTTAGAAAACATTGAGGGCCACAAGTTAAAAACATCGATAAGTATAGACAAAAGAGTGTTTATTTCAAAGACATATAAAAACCTTGTAGGGGCCCAAATAAAGCCTCATAAAATGTTCGAAGTGACAAATGCACACACACAAAAAGAATAGTGTTTGACCTGACGCTTCGGCTCACAAGAGCCTTCTTCGGAGGTCAAATAGTAGAAAGTACAAAACGCACCATGCAACTTGGATGTAGCCTTCCTTTTTTTTCATCAAAGTGTATTACCAGTGGATCTAGTGAAAGTGTTCATTACAGGATTTAATTAATACAATCCCCCAAGTACCGGTATTTATCAATCGGAGAACAAACAGCTTCCAGAGTTCTCCTCTGCAACTCCCGTTCACAGCGCTGTTCTTCCAGTAACTATGTATTCTGCATCCCTGACTGTGTCTGCCTTTCGCGTGCAGCGCCAATTGAATATTTGCTGCAGAAATGGAATGATTTAATTCTCTGCTTGAGTCGAAAGCCACATAGGAACAATAATTCTCAGCAGTACAAGCAGCAGTCCACCCGAAAGATTTCCCCCCCAGCTTTTGCAATAAGATGTCACTGATTTCCTGCATCACTTCCAAACACTAAATAAATCACTTTTGAGCAGAAAGAATCTTTTTTAAATCAGTGCGCGAGGAGCTCACAAGGTAGAATTTTTCCTTGGCAGGGGTTACTTGCTCAGTCTACTGAGGGTGCAGATGCCTAGGAAAGTGACCAAGGCAGGAGCCCCAGTTTCCCAACTAGAATGAGGCACACACCCCCGAAGCAGCCCCCCACCCAGGGCCATAGCTACAGTGGGGCATTTTGCGGTCTAGCCCCCTTAATTAAAAGCCCCCACCACCAATGGCCACACCAGAGACCTCCTGCTGCCTGCTCTTAGCAGTGAGCAGAGTGAGAGTGCCATGGTCTCCTTCAGGCATCCCCCCATCACCACCACTGTGGAATCGGGTGGGGGGATCATGAGACTCAGAAAAAGACAGTTTAGAGGACATTTCAATGCCTTTTTGAGTTCCCTTCCACAGGTCAAGAAAGCACAGAAGGGCATTCCAGATTTATTCAATTTATCTCCAGCAATCCCCCCTTTCTGCTAGCCCTGTCCTGCTGTATACCATCTAGGTCATGGCGAGTCTTTCAGAACCATTCCCATGAGCCTTTGGGTAATATGCAAATCAATTTATCTTGAAAGGAAGGACTAGAAACAGGCCCCGTTCAAGACACGCATACATATTAATTTATTTAACTGTAATTTGACTGCCCCCTTAAAATTTTAAATGCCCCCCACCCCGAACCAAAAAGTCCTGGCTACGGACCCCACCCCACCCCACCCCAAAGCTGCATGAACACAAGAGACGTACTCGGCATTGCTGGCACAGAAGATTTATTCTCATTCCAGGGAGTAGGAGACACGGACGGAGGCAGAAATTGGCCAGAAGGTTCAGAAATCCTGCACATCACACGCATTACCACACTGGATGATACTAGACGCCCGAAAATGCACACTTCATGATCAGAGGTGAGCTAACTGACCCACACTTTGAGCTAAGCTCAATTTCTACACAGCCTAGAAGTGTTCTTTCTGTAGACGTTTCTCTGCTTTTCCACTTGAGGGTGCAATTTTGCAGAAAACTAAGACATTTTCAAATGTGATAGGAAAGATATTGGGGGGGGGGGAGGAAATCAACTCATCTTCAAGGTGCAAATCTGGCTACCTATCTGGCTACCTATCAGTTGAAATTAAAGATTGGCGGAATTCAGCTTGGAAGCATTCTGACCTTCTGTTCGCAGCCACGAGAATGGGGCACAGGTGTGGGTGTGGGGAAATCTTAGGTAACCATTTGGGAAAGGCAATGTTGCAGGTGAAATTTGAGAATGGCTTTCAGAGAAGAAGAAGCAAGGAATTGGAATCCGTTCCTTGGTAGGGCAGCATCCAAGGGCTGGAGGCATCATCCATAGAGGCTGA